CTCCTCTCTCTCTCTCTCTCTCTCTCTCTTTCTCCTCCCCCTTCCTCTCTCTTTCTCGTACATTATTACTCCACACTCCCATGACAAGCAGAGATAGATTCTAATATTCTACACAGGACCGTCATCCCTTCCTCACCAACTGTATTTTCTTTACTCACCATTATTGTATTACATTTCTTCTACAGACAAGGTCCCTACCTTTCTCGTCCCCTCCTTTCTCGTAACTTGCTTTTAAAAAACAACAACAAACAACAACAACAACAACAACAACAACAACAACAACAACAACAACAACAACAACAACAACAACAGCAAAAACCAACTGTCTGTTGTATTGTCCTCTTTTCTTGCACACAGTCTTCTATTTTATGTGATTATCGGATTTTCATCTCATCTGATTTTATCTGCATGTTAAACGGTGTATTCAAAACGGCAAATTCCTTTCGTATTTCCTTTTTAAAACGTCATGAGATTCCTTATAACATAAAATTTAATTTTAGTTTAACAAGAGATTCCCTAGCATGAAAAGTCTGTAACAGTAACAAAATAATTATTTTTTAATATGAAAATTTATTCAATAACAGGAGCAGTAGACTGTAGTTATGAAATTTTGTTTTTTTCAAGTAACATTTGGTCATTCCATGCTGCACATAGACGTGCCCAATAAACAAACAAACAAACAAATAAACAAACAAACAAACAGCATTAAAAAACAACAACACAATAATTGTGGGGCTTGTTCTTTTTCCTGTTAAACAATCCTGGATGGTACATCAGTTTGTAGAGCGATCCGTAGACGGATTGGGAGATTGTTTGATTGTGGGTGGTTGGCGGGTGCTCTGGTGTGGTTTGCTCCTTCTTTCTTACCAACATTTATCGTCCTTATCCCTCCTATTCTTTGTTGGTTTGTTTGAAAGCTATTCTCTTGAAAAATCCCTCGTCTTATATATAGCATATTTGGGTTGCAATTGCCGTAGAACTAACCAAAATTGAATTGAATTGTTTAATTCGATTATTGATTCAATAATTCATTCATTCATGCAGTCATTAATTTTTTTTGATTGACTGGCTGATTTATTTGTTCGTCAGTCCGTCTTGTTTTGTTTTAATGTATTAATTTTCAGTTTATTCCACATTAGTCTTGAATGGCAATGTTTTTGCGTAATCTTTGTTCTTTCCATTTAGAACTTAGATATATAAGTCGCTACCACAGAATAATAAAGTTCTATCTGACTTTTTTTGCCGTTTTGAACTACTGAGACCGTGAGGTCAGAATCCAAATGTTCTATCCGCTCTATCAAAATCCTAAGATTATTCGGAATCGTTATCAAGATATTCAAAGAACTGCATTCCAAAAAGCTTGACGTGTTGTGAAAATCAAAATTGTCGACGTCAAATTTATCAAAACTACATGTATAATGGGAACTGAGCAAATAGAAATTTGTAATTCAAGGGAAGCGCAGTGTTTACTCGTACTCCTCAAAAATATCATTCTCACTAAACTTTGACACGCAAATGACGTATCAAAATGCACTCGTTTTTTTTTTCTCTCCAGTTTCTCCTTTGATGGCCTACATTTTAGACATCGCTCCAAACGAAGACGCCAAACGGAGATCTTCTTGCCACGATATCAACCCTTCCACGACAGAGACACAAGAACTAAAATCTCAACACCCTTTCGCACCAGCCGATGTTCCAACTCCGCGTTTAGACTCGTTCAACTTTCCATATCTCAAAAGTCTGCAAGATCTCTCGGCGAAAGTGGCATCCACTGAGCAGAATTCGTCGTCTCCCCAAACCCAAACTGGACAACCCCCTCACCAAAAAGCTTTTCTACACGCGCACGCTGCTGGGTACCCTCTTTCCATGGACACGTGTGGTTCTGCCAGCTCTTTTCGCTCGCACGAAGAGAGGTTCCTTTCTAGCTCTGATGTGTCAGATCGAGATTCGAACTCAAACCATTCAAGTCCCGAGCGAGGTACCCCTATTGCTTTTTCCCAAGACGACGGAGGAGATGAATTGCCACCAACCTCCCATCTGAATTCACTTCGAAAATCCAGCAGTCCCCAGATTGGGTTGAGCAGACGAACAGAGGCGGACTTTCCCGAAAGTGTATTCTACACCCGCGAAAACACGCTAAAACACCTGCAAAGTTTGGCGTGTTTTTCTACGGCCAATAATTCTCTTGCCCGCCGAAGTCCCGTCCGCCCTTGTGAAAACTCGTATGAGGGCTCTGGCCAAAGTGTGAGCTACTCGTCCAGCATGTCGCCCATCTACTGCCACAGTCTCAGCTCCCGCTGCCAGCCTGGGTTTATGCAGTACAACGTGAAGACGTCACCGCGAGACATGGAGTCTCCCGAGAAGGAGGAGAGGTCGCTGGGTGTGCTCTCCCCTGGCTGTATAGACGACAGGCTGCACAGGTCACAGAGCAAGGAGTCCAAACGACCAAGAAACAGGTAACTGCACACGCACGCACGTGCTTGCATGCACGCACACATACACACACAAACACACATACGCGCACACACAGACAGACAAACAGACACACATGCAGCTTACCAACTGGCTATACCGCCCACTAGAAGGCGATTTGGTCATTTTGGTAGTATATAATAATATAGAACCTGCCATGACGGCCACCTGTATAATACGGTCACCTGTACAAACGGCCACTTTCCATTCCCCACCCCCTTTCGTTTTTGTTTTTTTTTAATATATAATTTAACTGTGTAAAACGGGCACCTGTCCAACGCGGCCGCGGCCACTTTATTTTGTCAAACACGGTCAAATTTACCTGTCAAAAGTTATGCATTTTCCCCTAACACTGTGGACAAGGTGTCATAATTCATTCACCTGTCGTTGTTTTCAGTCCCTCAAATTGATGAAACGGTCATGTTGCTTAGGTCACTCCCAATATTTGCCCAAGTTGACCAATGGGTAACAATAAGTTTTCAGTTGCTGGTAAGGGAAGCATGTGATAAGTCATATAAGGCCCGCCCACAACTCAGTCCGTAAACCCAGTCTATGACAATGGAAGTCAACATAAATTTGTGACAGAAGTGTCGCTCGTTCGCTGAGTGGTGGCGACCCATTTGTTTGTTTTACTATGACATTTGGCCTTCCCCGCCTAAAACATTTCGTTTTGTTTTTACCCTTCCCGGAAACATAATTTTTAAAACCCCCACAAAATAACGACAAAAAGTCTCACAAAAACCGTCCTACCTTTCAAAAGAAATTTTAAAAAACAACAACAACAAAATTTAATCAGCCTAGGGCGATCCTAAGCCTGCTACCCCCTCCAGTTGCGACCTCAGATGTGAATGGTTTGTTTTCTTCATTTTGATTAGTCTTGCGTATGACGGCCGCCTGTCTTATACGGGCACTTTTCTCTTCGACACAGGTTCGGTTCAACTGCAATATATTGGTAACTAGTTGCCTGGTCGCTCAGTCCAAAGAAAGCCCTTGTCTCGCTGTGGTGTAGCGGTTAGCACACAGAAGACGTACATTCGGGTCCCGGGTTGCTAAGGGTTTTGTATCAAGTATTTTCGTCTGTCTGCTGGGACACTATACCCCTCTCAGCCCGGGTTGGCACTGAAAGACATGGTTGTAGCTCGCCTCCTGAATGGTCTAAAAAGTATCGATAGGGGTGTAATACGTCCGCATTTACAATTTCATTCTCCTAATATATATTACAGTCGAACCTGCTCCAACAACCCCCCCCCCCCCCCCCTTTTTGCCGTTAAAATTTTTTATTTTTTTAAAGTATGACATAGTGTAAGACGCTCTTCTATCTAAAACAGCCACTATTCTTCTCGACAACAGGTGGCTTTCTTCGTGGGTGGTTGGCGGGTCGTCTTATCTCCCCTTCTTCTTTTTATGTCTGTTACTCTCGTATAACACCTCTAATCTTCTGGCGCTCATATGACCTTATGCAGTTGCGAGCGCCTTTAAACCTCTACTAAAACAAACAAATGGTAGATTTTTTACACAATTTCGACTACACTTGGCCCTATATGAAATGTTAATAATGAATACATAGTATTTGTATAGCGCAAACTCCCGCACAACAGCGAGCTCTGTGCGTTTTGCAATCTATACTATTACCCCAGCAGACCTGATAACATTCTGAAACAACCTCAACTTCCTGAGAAGCATATAATGCAATCTGCCTTTTATAGGAGCTAAAACACTAACATACTGACAAGATCTTTCGCTGTCTATGACTGGGTACCCATTCCACCTGGGTGAAGTGAGGAACATTCGTGTGAAGTGTCTTTCCCAAGAACACAACGTCGGGCCTTCGGCTCGAACCCCCCAACCCGCAACCTCACGATAACGAGTCCGGTAGCCTAATAGGGGGTGCCCACTAGCAAGCGTGGATCGGGTCGGGTCGTCCGGTCGGGTTGTTTTCTGGTGGTTTCGGTGCACACTACAGCCCCGCCGCGATTGTACCCGACGATCTGGATGTTAAAGTAGAGAAACCTTTAACCTCAATGGCTTCCAGGGCTCCTTTCCGCAGTTCCCTGTTGCAGTGCTGCGCAGCCTGGAAATTTGTAAACATGGTTACAATAGTTACATCGTTAACTTTCTATTATCAAACATCGTTCATAAGAAGATAGGTCTAGGTCACTCGGCCAAAAAGTGTCCGAGGAAGTCTGTGCATTGGTTCATATGGTACTGCAGCCTTTGTTTTGAAGATCTCTTTCGTTTCTCCAGAAGAAAAATAGGAATAGCACAGTTTGTTAGTTTCGCTTTTATTGTTTTTCACACTAGTAGGGTAACTCTGTTCGCAAGGTCAGCACTTTTTCGAAGAGAACGCCATCTGATTTTGAGGGTCAACATGGGCACGTGACTCAGCATTGTTGTGATTGGCTGCAAACCACCCAATCACCCGATGTGCAAACCTGAAAACAATTGTAGGTCACCAACCGAGTCTATCGGTTTGTGCCACGATGGCTGCTTTGTGCCCTCAATTTTGCTAGCCCAGACTACAAATCGACCCGACCCGACCGCGCTAGTGGGCACCCCCTATTACCACTAGACTACTGACTCCAGCTGATCGACATCGACTGCTTCCTGCCGTGTGTCGGAAGTGATTTCCTCTTCTGCTTAGGCAATCTGCACCCAGGACAAAGAGGTCAAAGCTTGTCCTCATAAATGAGCGACGTTAAGCATTGCTGTCATTCTACATTGCCGAATCGTTAGAAGTGCAAAGTTCTACCTGCTCATATCCTAGTTTTCAGAAGTTTGACGTCAAAACGTTTGTTTTGTCAACATATCAAGATTTTTATGCAATGTTTTGTATATTATCTTGATAACGACTACGAATAATCATACGATTTTGATAGAGCAGATAAAACAATAAGTTTCTGACTTCATGGTCTTATTAACTCAAAATGGACAAAAATAATTATGTCAGTTACAACTTAGTGATTTTAATAAGGATGGTATGTCAGAATTATGAAATATTTTCAGGACAAGCAAGATCCTATTCTACTTTGCACAAGACCCTGTCCCAATACAATATTATGTTCAATTCGTCTGAAACCTTTACTATTCTAAGAAGAGGAATGTGGGACTAGAACCAATCCCCGAACCTCGTAATACTCTACAACATACTTGAACTTGATTTTCTTTTTTTTTTCACTCTTGAAATGTTGACCTACAACGATGTGGAATGACGGACACAATCTCAAAGTTAGCTTGGTCGCACTACAATACTTTGGAACTTTGTATCCGACATTTTTGGCCGTTTTGAGTTACTAAGACCACGAGGTCAGAAACGAAATAGGAAATAAATTATGTTTTATCTGCTCAACAAAATCGTAAGATTATTCGGAATCGTTATCGAGATATTCAAATAATGGCAGTCGAATGGCTTGACATGTTGTGAAACTTTAAAAAAATGTTGACGTCAAATTTCTCCAAACTTGGCACAGAACAGATAGAACAATGTAATTCTAGGGTAGTGTACGACTAAAACTGCGCCTTTCCATGGATAGCTGGTGGCCAAGGAGTACTTTACAGTACTCCTTGCTGGTGGCCTATATTGTAGAAAAATGTGTCACGACGTGGTGGCAGCAGGCGCTCGTCAATTTTGAGGCATGTGGAGTCATTGGTATCATCTTAAAGCTTGTTTATTTATTGTCTATATTTCGATTAAAAACAAACAAACTACCCGTTTATCTTGAATAGAACTTGAGATATTTGTAATTGAAGGAGCTTGGTTTCAGACTTACAGTTAGCGACAAAATGGCCGCCAAAGTTTGGTTATTTAGATAGTCTGAGAGTACGTGGAAACTGACAAATTACGTTTTGGTGCCTTTAATCAACGCTTTTCAGTAAAACCCACACAGAAATGGATACTTAAATGGACATAAAAGGTGAGTCAGTGAAGCTCACGGGATGATGTGAGCCATCAAAAATGTGTGAGGCGT